AGCCGGGATTTAAAAATGGCGGCGCCCCGCTTATGCAAATGAAGCCCGGGAAATTCAAATCTCGGGCTTCATTTGCAAGTGCGGTATGCCTACATTACCCTCCTAGTTCGAACTAGGAGGGTAGTGTAGACATACCCTAGGAAATTATAAATCAAGGCATTCAGAGCATAGCTCAAGGTAGTATTTAAAATGAGATTATTATTTGACAATCAAAAGGAGCAGAAAACTGAAGAAAACAAGGGAATGAAGTAGATTAATACTATAGACTGTCACTCTAAAGATCTGGGTCCTGGATCTCAAACCATGCTGCAAATGCTCTACTGAGGTCAGTAATGATCTAGTGTGAGGGTCACAACACGTCAGATAGCTGAGTTCCAATGCAAAGTCCAAATTCTGCTTCTGTTGCATTGATGTAATTCCAGAGAAATTCCATTGACTTCAGTGGAATTAGTCCAGATTTAAAGTGTTGTAAGGAAGGGAAGAAGTTGGACCTAACATAGATGATAGACAAGTGGTTTGGAAATGGTAACTTAGAGTAAAATGTTCAGAAGTTGCTAAGTGATTGGGGTACTAAATCCCGTATTCAAAATTATTAAGGCACTTAGGAGCCTAAGGGCACATCTACACTAAATGGAAAATCAATGCTGCCCCGCTCAATCTTCCCACTACATCCAACTCAGAGGGCACCCCTGCTGGCACCAGTACTCTTACTCCTTAAAAGGAGTAAGGGAAGCTGATGGGAGTGCTTGCTCCTATCAGCCTCCCACTGTGCGAACGGTGTGAAAATGTGATGTAAGATACATCGACTCCTGCTACACAATTTGGCTGTATCTACACTGGCACCTTTTTCCGGAAATGCTTAAAACGGAACAGTTTTCCGTTATAAGTATTTCCAGAAAAAGAGCATCTACATTGGCAGGATGCTTTTGCGGAAAAGCCCTTTTTCCGGAAAAGCGTCCGTGGCCAATGTAGACGTACTTTTCCGGAAAAAAGCCCCGATCGTCATTTTCGTGATCGGGGCTTTTTTGCAGAAAAGACTACTGTGCTGTCTACACTGGCCCTTTTCCGGAACAGTTTTCCGGAAAAAGGACTTTTTCCCGAGCGGGAGCAGCATAGTTTTTCTGGAAAAGCAGCTGATTTCTTACAGTAAATCGTCACTGCTTTTCCGGAAATTCAAGGGGCCAGTGTAGACAGCTCGCAGCTTATTCCGGAAAAGCGGCTGCTTTTCCGGAATAAGTGGCCCAGTGTAGACACAGCCTTTATGTAGCTGGACTTGTGTATCTTACTTCAACCTTCCACTATAGTGTAGACCAGGCATCAGTATCATTGAAAGTCTATGGGTCTACTGAATTGATTTCAAGGGCCAAAAGAGATAATGTTTATCAGTGCTTTCACTGTCCAACAGTGATGCATCAAATTGAGGTTTTTTTCCCCACTTGTCTTAGATTTACTCTGATCCTTGACAATCACCCAAAAGCATTTATTCTAGATTTGAAAGTTTATTCATTAAACACAAGGAAGAATGAGACATTTATATCAGCATTTATAGTGTAACTATGTCTAAATCCCAACCTTCATTCACTAGGTTTCTGGCATTTATCTGGTGTAACCAGCTCCAAACACAGGAAAGCCACAGGACTGAGTTTTAAGATTCTGAAGTCTAAGCTCAGACCTTGTGTATGTGCTCAATTTACTTCCCCGAGTCAAAAGTTCTTTGCTCAAATTACCTAAATGTGTAAATCTTTCCAAGATCATAGACTAAGGGAACTGCTGTTGTAGTTAAAAATAAAGAAATCTGTATCCTGTTGTGTATACCATGTTCCAAGTCTGCTCTGTAGTGTACTGAGCATCTGATCTTGCTACAGTTTTGCTCTAGTTTTCTTCACTTACTTTGAGATTATTGGACTCTACTGAAAAACATCCCTGAGATCTATCTATATATTTTTAAAATGTCTGTCTGTCTGTCTGTTTATCTATCTATATATTTTAAAAATGTCTGTCTGTCTGTCTGTTTGTATGTCCACCTGTTAATCCATTTGTTCAAGAACTCCTCCTAAATGGTAAGAACTGGGACCACCAAATTTAGTATGCAGCTTCCTCTTCTCCTTACTTAAAGGTAAGGTCAGGGTTTGGTTGTGGCAGGAAAACAGGAACTGATTAGAATGGGACTGTTTTCCATAACATGGAAAGGGAGAAACTGATCAGGGGAACAGCTCAGCTATATGCATAGTGACCACTGGGGTCAGTGACCATGGGAGAGAGCTATGCTGCAGAGTGCTGACCTGGGGCAGCTGCACCAACAATAGAGTCACCTGGTCTGGTGGCCAGCAACATGGTAAGTGGCCCACCCTGCTCCAAACCTCTCACCCCTGGCTCTTGGCTGCAGCAAAAGCAGGAGGGGGAGAAAAGACCCCCCATTGGACTGGGAGGGAGAAAAAGGTCCCCATCAGACCAGGGAGGGTGGAGAAAAAGACCCTTGCCAGACACAGGAGAGAGAGCTCTTCCACCCTCCCCACCCCCGTAGGAGCCACAGCTCAGCCCCCAAGCACCAGTTTCCCCTTCCTCCCCTGGGCTGTGCCGCCCCCCCCCCCCCCCGGGGGGAGCCACAGCTCATCCCCCAAGCCCCAGTTTCCCCTTCCTCCCCTGGGCTGTGCCGCCCCCCCCCCCCCCCGGGGGGAGCCACAGCTCATCCCCCAAGCCCCAGTTTCCCCTTCCTCCCATGGGGTGTGCAGCCCCCCCCTCCTGACAAGCCCCAGAAGAAGCCAGAGGTGCATAGGGGTGCATAGACCCCCCTGCCCTAGGGACAAGTCAGTGGGCTGGGTGTGTGATCCTCGCCACCCCAGACCGCCCCTGAAGAGAAGCTGACAGCTATCCCTAAACCCTTCATTGAGCCTCCCTCCCTATCCCCTTAGCTCCTCCTCTTCCCAATCCCCTGCTCTGATTCCTGCACACCCACCCCCTTCCCTGAGCCCCTCTTCACCTCCCAACCCTCCCTCTCACCCCCCCATCTCCAGCCCCCTCCCCTGATCCCCTTCTGAAACCCCAACCCTGATTCCTGCACACACACCCAGTCTCTTGCCCTGAGCCTACCACATCCACAGGGCCCTGCCCAGACATTTGTACTCCCCCGCCCTGAAGTTTTAGTCTTTCATATGGTAGCAGAGTCCCACATTGTGCCCCATTGTGACACGGTTGAAGGTGCTTAAGATAAAACAAAGCTAAGAAAACAGAATTCCTACGATACCTGGTTTATCCAAAACTTTGTCGGCATTGTGTTCTTTTCTTCAAACTTGTACTCCCAGGTTGCTTTGAAGTAGATTGCATTCACTAGCACCAGCACAGCACTTGAGTCAATAACCCCAGGAACAAAGAGTTCCCTGATTTTACCTTAATAACAGTCAGAGAAAATCAAGCTATATGGATTTTAATATATAGATATTTATTTGCAAGATTAATTTATCATGGTGAAAATCTAGTACTTGGCTCTGCAAATTAATGCTTCCTATTCATCCACAGGACATCAATGAAACAGACAGCTGCACTGTAAGCTTCACTATTGCACTTCCACTAATGTGATTCATCTCTGATGTAGAAGGATTAAGTAAATAGCTCACCAAACCCATCACATTCTTGACCATCCGCAAAAGCATACACATGTACCATTTCAGTTGTATTTTTCTAGTCCAATGTGGACAGAATGGCTCTGGGGATTTGGTAGTAATTGAGGTTGTCTTTTACATCCATTCTGAGGACTGAAGTAGGAGTTGAATGGTGCACAACCCTTGGGTCTGGCTTTGTGCACGAGCATGCATCTCCAGCACTGTGAGGCTGCTTTTGAAAGTCAGGCTCTCCTACTAGGAACCTGATTGAGAACTACAATTCTTTCCCTGTGGGTCTCTGGACATTGATCAACGGATGACTTGTTATTCGTGACTTTTTTTGTTACAAAGACCAAGACACACAGTCTTGGTCTATAACACACAATCAGTCCCCTGAGGCATACTGTTCCTATTCAGCTTGAAAGTTTCAAAGCTTGACTGTCTAGGTGAGAATGCAGCACTGGTAAAGGGAATGTGTCTCATGTTTCATTCAAGCCAGTGTGCAAGAGATCATTAATCATACTTGGCTTCTTGAGGAGGATGGCAAAGGGAAAGGAAAATGTAAGTTACTTGTGATGTGACCCTCCCTAGCAGTTAGAACATCGTCCGTCCCCCTGTGCATTGCTCTGTTTCCCACATAATCAGACTCTTGATCTATCTCCTCCTGTTTTCTGGCTTCACTCCTCTTCACAGCCACACCTGCGGCTTCTGTTGTCTCCATTTGTTCCCCTAGCACTGTAGAAGTGACTCATATTTTTTGCCATTGACCAGGATACGAAGGCAGTGTTATAAAAATAAGGATGTGATAGCAAATTCATATGTTTAATTTAGAAGTGCTAGGGGCTAGGGGCTGTGCCCCTACTCAAATTCATATGTTTAATTTAGAAGTGCTAGGGGGCTGTGCCCCTACTTGCTGCACTCACCGACCCTCCTCTCACGGGGGTTGGTGCCCCTGGCCACTTGGGAGGACCAGGCTGCAGCCGCACCAGCCTGGGCCCTTTCTCCTTCGTCCCCCACCCCTTCTTGCAGCCTAAATCTAACCTCCTCTCTCCCAAGCTAAGCTGCACCAGGCCTAGCTCTGCTCCTGGCAGCCACGTAAGGCCAGGCCACAACCTCAGTGCTCCAAGCCAGACCTGGCTCTGACCCCAGTGGCCAGGGAAGGCCAGGCCAAGGCACACCAGGCTTAGCCCTGCCCCCGGCCTTTGGGGGGTTGGGCTGGGCCAAGGCCTCTCCGCAGCCAGGCCTGGCTCTGGCCACCATGCCAGGGGGTTGGGCTGAGCAGCCTTGGTTCTCTTCTCCCCAGCCCCATGCACAGAGGAGGAAGGAGGCTACATGGCTCTGCTCCCCAGAGCATGGGAGGGGAGGCCACGTGGCTGAGGGCAGAGAAAGGGGCAGCAGGATGCAGCGTGATGCATGATCTCACTCTGTTGTCCCGCAGAAAAAGTTTTTCATATATAGAGAGAGTTTAGCTGAGGACTTACACACCCAGGATTTTGCTTTTAAATCCTGGTTCTTGTTTTGATGAAACAGTAAGAAAAGCCAACAAAAATTGGACCTGTGCTTTCTTACCTTGAGTCTGCCTTTCAACCCACAAATTTATCGTCTGTCTGGCTGCTTCTGTTGCATTTTCAAAATCAACTGTTTGCAGCATTGCTCCATATAATTCCCTAGTGCAGTCTAAATATTGCTGTACAGTAAAATAAAGATCTTTAACTTTAATATTATAATGATTAATGTTGTAATCCATAAATCAGATCCTCCAAAAGAAAATTAATTAACTCAAGACATTTAGAAAAAAGTCATGCTTTTTATTATTATTTTGTTCAGGGTCAAATTTGAGAGGGAAACTAAAGTTTGCACTGACACAAGTACTAAAAGTTTATTCATTGAGCGTTTAGCCAGAGCTACTGCCTAACTAAATCATGAAACAGACATGTATTACATTGGCGATTTTTCATGGAGAATTACAATAAAAGTAAAAATTTGGTTTAGATCAAACAAAGAAAGTTACTGATGTTATTATTATGTTGAGCATCTTGTGCATTCAGCCAACTAACATGTAGTTAAACAAAAAAGGAAAAGTCTCCTAACCCTAAGGAAGATTTCTCAAGGAACAAAGAGGTGCTAGACAGCCAACTTCCACCAATCTTTATTTTTTTTTAATTAATAGAAATGTTGTATTTTTTTCTTTGCCTCCTGGTTTCTAAGCCTTTAGGGTATACTCAGGTCATGTTTTCAAACTTTCCTCTGCAACTTCCAGGACTAGACGCTTGCTTAAAACAACAAAATAAACCCAATCACGTATGTCCAAGGGCTATGGCTTTAAGGATAACACCAAATATGGGGAAACTTACTATAAAAATCACAAGAGTTGGCAATCCTGTGGTGTCAAGTTGAGCTTTAACTCCATGTCTTCTATGGACCAGACACGTGTAACTTACCTGGTGAAAGTTGTATCCTGTTTGTGCAAACAGCCTGTTGGCCAGACTCAGTACATAGCTCCTGTTGAGATTTTTCAGCTGGGAAAGGAGTGCCTGGAACTCTGTGTGGATCCCTCCAACTGAGTCACATTGTGAAGGAGAAGGCTTCAAGCAAGGGGGAAATAAAGATGCTTCATTTTCTCTTTGTTAACTTGTGTAAAAGTTAAGTAACAGGACTGACGTTTGAGTATCTCTCTCCATAGGAGCTAGCATGAGAAACAGTATCATAACTGCCGTAGCACAGCTAGCGGCAGGGAGTACAAGCCTGCCAGAAAACCGGTGTGCATGTACTCAGCATGGCTCAGCAGTGTCTCCACTGCCCCTACCTATATTTCTTGGTCACACTGTTATTTATACTCACTCCCCTGAGAGAGCTAGCATGGGTAAGTGTACACAGCAGTGTCAACAGAATTGCCGGGATCCTGGGCAAGACGGAGGGGGCTGGCACAGGGCCTTGGGCTGATGTGGTGGGGCTAGGGACTAGCTTCCCCCAGCCAGCCCTTCAGCACTGCCCAACACATGCCACCTGGGCTCCAATTTCAAGGGTCTGGAGTTTGGCCACAGTTGCAGCAGCAGAGAGCCTTGGGCCCTTTTAAATCACCAGGTCCAGGGCAGCTGTCCCTTTTCCGCCACCCCTTGTCAGCAACCCTGAGTGTGTACAAGCTGGAGAATTGCACCCCGGGGCTCTTAGAATAGTGTGGAGGATGGGGGCGTACGTATGTCTCCATTGATTCCTCCATGGCTGGGCTATTAATCAATCAATCGTGACCTCCAGGTCAAGTATTTCCTATGACAGTAGACTTCCGATAATCTGGCACCTTTGGGACCTAGGTGGTGCCGGATTATTGGATATGCCGGAGTATCAGGAGGTCCCAGTAAAGCTGCATGGCTTAACAGCTGGCTAGGACATTATTGGATATGCCGGAGTATCAGGAGGTCCTAGTAAAGCTGCACGGCTTAACAGTTGGCTAGGAGCCGATCTCCCTCTCCCTCCCCTCTCCTTTCCCCTTAGCTGAAGCAAAACACTTTTCTCCATGCTGTAACCTGATCCCTTCCCCCCTCCAACCTTATGTTTGGTCTGGGTATAGCCCGCATGTGCGCTGAGCAGCGAGCTTTTTAATCAGCTGGATGGGAGCGCTTGACATTTTGATGCCGGAGTATCGGGAGTGCCGGGCAATTGGGTGCCGGACTATTGGCGTTTTACTGTATACTAGAGTGGCCTATGATCACCACGAATCTAATCACTGGTATTGGCCATTGTACAGCCTGCAGCTCCCCTCACAGCTATGAAAACACTACTCTCTCTTGTTTGGAAGAAGTACCTTTGGGAATTGAGGACGTTGATGATGCCCTTCACTGGGATATTTTGGCTCAGCCCCAGCCAACCCACTTTCAGAGACAGGTCCAGCTCCAAGTTTTCCTGCAGCGTCTTTCAAATGAAGAACCTGTGGTTGGAATTGTAACGTTACTGCACTGTAAATGCATGTCCCAGAAAGGCTCTTATCTTAAGATGTTTGTTACCCTAGATACTAAATACAGCTGAGCAGGAAACAGTTTTCCTGTCCTGACAAAATAGTTGAGGTTTTAAGAGTTTTTCTAGTCCCAAATTGGGACAAAATGTCTATATCTAAAATTTTTGAACCCACAAGCAAAAAAAAAAAATATATATATATATATATATATATTTTTTTTTTTTGCTTGTGGGTTCAAAAATTTTAGATATATAATTATATATATAATTATAGGTCAATCTAAACATTTTTTGTTCTGATGATTCTGAAATACTTCTATTTCTACTTTACATTCTCAGCTATAAGTAGATTGTTTCTAAGGCTACATCTACACCGCAGTGCTGTTTCAGGATACACTAAGTATCCCGAAATAGCAATTCTGCATATTAGCAGCAAGCCCGTTATTTTGAAATATAATGGGCTCGCTATTGCGATGTCCCTGTAAACCTCATTCCACGAGGTGTAAGGGACATTTTGGAATAGCGGGTTATTTCAAAATTCGGTGCTGTGTAGACAGCACCAAATTACAAATTAAGCTATTTCGAAATTGACTCAAAATAAGCTATGCAATTTGTGTAGCTCAAATTGTGTAGCTAATTTCAAGCTACGGATGCAGTATAGACTCACACAGAATGAGTCATTTTGCACAGGAAAACAAAATTTTCATCTTAAAATTGTTCCAGGTAGGAATCTTGATTTAAGACTGACATTTGAATTCAGAAATGAGACGAGATATTACCCCTTTCTGGGGAAGATTGGATCTCCATCTCTGTTTTATATAAGCATATTCAATATATTTCTGTCAAGGCCATCGGGTGGGTGAAAAGAGAGCCAGCTCTGCCCTGAGAAAGTATTCATGCAGCAATCAGGCTCTGCACATATAACCTAAGAATGCCAGTCATAGAAATGTAGGGCTGGAAGGGAACTCAAGAGATCATCTAGTCCAAAGTTGCTCAACCTATCTGTGGATCAGTGCCAGTCCTTCAGAGCTCCCTAATACAGTTTAAGAAGGCAGCAAGCTGGTTCCCTGATATCAAAACATTTGGGAAACACTAATCCAGGTGTGGCCAGCCTGAGCTTGAGAAGAAGCCACTGTTTACCAATGTATGTTGCCAAAGAACTACAGTAATTTGTGAGCTGTCCCCATTAGATGCCTCCTCTCCCATCTCCAGCATCTTTTGCCCATCAACCGCCCCACTGATCAGTGCCTCCTCTTCCTTCCCTGCACCTCCTGCCCACTGCAATCAGCTGTTCCATGGCTCTCAGGAGGCTTTGTGGGGGAGGGAAGGAGCAAGGGCACAATACTCTTGGTGGAGGAGGTAGAGCCAGGAGTTGAGCACTGGAAATTTGGTATCTGTAGCTGCAGCCCAGGAGTCAGTGCTTGAGCAAGGAGCCGCATATTAACTTCAGAAGAGCCACAGGTTGGTCACCCCTGCACTAATCTAATCCAGCCCCCAGCAATAAGCTAAGACCAAGCAAACCTAGACCATCCGACAGATGTTCATCTTCTCTGCTTTTGTGTCTCCAATGTGGGGATCTCACAGTCTCCTTTGGAAGTGAGTTCCAGAGCTTAACAACTCTGACAGATTGTTGGGAAGGTTTTCCTAATATCTAGCCGAAAACTCCCTTGCTTTGGCCTACTATTTTTTGTTCTACTTTCAATGGAGAGGGAAACAATTGATCACCATCCTCTTATAACTGCCCTTAACATATTTAAAGCTTGTTATCAGGTCCCCCTTCAGTCTTCTTTTCTCAAGACTAAACATGCTCTGTGTTTTAAACTTTTCCTTATGTGTCAGGTTTTCTAAGCCTTTCGACTATTTTGTTGCTCTCCTCTGGACTCTCTCTAATTTGTCCACATCTTTATCATCTGTAGAACCTTCTCTTGACTTTGGTGGGATTTGTGGATACTCAGCAATTTAGATGTGTAAATATGGATTTACAAACCTATTTTTAGTAATCTGTGAAAATCTGTGCTAAACTCTTATTGGTAAAGATAATTAAAGGATCTATACTATAGAATGTCTAGAAACCAAGCCTTTCTACTTCTGTTGTATTAGGATTTTGCTAGTTACTTCTGCATGTCAGAATGGCTTTCCTACCTTTATGGTTCTCAATGTCTTCTTCTAATTAGATTTAATTACTTGATCAGATCTGAATTGATGTAAACTGTTTGGAATGGTTCTCTACCAATTTAAAACAGCGGAGGAGGCAGCCCATTGTTCTTAATTGGTAGCCTAATTTTTAAGTAGTTGAATGTTCCATAGTTTTATTCTGAATTTTTCTTCAAATCTAAGATTGGGACTAAGAAATGACTCATACACTGGTTGCCTGATTCTGATATCACATCAGTAGTATAACAATGTAAATCCACTGACTATAGTGTAACTATTTCAAATTAACATTGGTGTAAGAGTAGAAAGAGGCCCTCTCCCATATTTAGTTTCATACTCTCTAGGATGACCATCATCTCAAGGAAAAGGGGAACTGATAAGCAAATACAGCACAAAAATTCATTTTTTCTTTTTGAAAGTCAGCCCAGCACAACATTTTATTCATGCTATCATATTTCTAAAGGCATACTACAGCCACTTATTGGTAAATAGTTTAAACATATGGGCATCCTTTAAAGGGCTAGTTGATACTTTTCCTAAAAACAAAAAAAGGGGGGTGGGTCACAGTTAAACAAAATTTTGTGATAAGTGTTTACTTTCTTCAAAAGTGTGTTTAATCTTGATATCAGTGAACCAAATGTAATTTTCTTCATTTCTTCAAAAGTGTGTTTAATCTTGATATCAGTGAACCAAGCATAATTTTCTTTGGTCTTTCAGAAGTTTTTAACCAAATGTGTTTAGTTTTGCAGCAGCTTTTGGCCACCACATTTTGGTTTTTGGATGAAAAGGCAAACTTTTTTAAGAGAGGTAAAAAATACTGATTTCTGACCATTTTGCTGACCATTTCTGACCATTCTCTTCTCATTTTGCTAGCGGACAGGAAGTTTAAAGGATGTTCTGAAAGGATGAGTCTTAGGCAATGTTTCAACGTGAAAAAATAAAGAGGCACTAGCAAGCTAAACTCCATCTTTTCTGACTTTCTGATGAACTGTGAAAACCTTAATGTTTATACTCAAGGACTTGATTTTTAGAGAGGTAGACTTCTGCAGCTCTCTTTGACTTCACAAGGAGCTGTTGGACTAATATAAAGGCCACGTCCATCTGTATAGACGTTTGGCTATTGCAGATGTGAAGTCACAGCTGAGTGTGGCAGCTTTTTTTTTTATTAATAAAAGCCAATTCTGGACAAATAAATTTTATTGCATCGAATTCAAAAAAAGGTGTTTTCCTGTTGGCCATGGCTAGTTGCTCATTTTTTTTACTCTGCCTTTTTGTTCAAGTGTAGAGAGCCACTGTTTATCATATTCTGTGATGCCCATCTCTAGACTCGATTGTCAACTCAAACATTCTTTCCCTTGTGCTTCCCAGGGCAGTGGCTCCATAGCAAAGCATTTAGGACTGTGGCAGAGAACTTGTTAGCTCGTTTTCCCCAAAGTGTTCTGCATTGCCCCTTTTGCTTTTTGGTTTTCAAAAGTTAAAGGTGTTGGCTTCTCAGTGTGTTTTGCATAAGCTTCTTTCTTTGCTTGAATTAATGGTTGCAACTCCTGTTCAGAATGTTTGAATTGGTCTTGTTCCCTGTTTTTTTAAGACCAAATATATTAAGTTCAATTTTGCAAACCTCTTTTTGCAGAGATTTCCAGATTTTCTTTGCATCAACATCAGCGTTTTTAAGTAAACACTGAGCAAGGGATTTGTGAAACTCTGCATGTAGTTTAGGATCACATATTTTCAGAACATTTGTTTGAGTACAACTTTCTTTCTAAGCTTTAGATATCAAATTAGGCTGTGTGTTTGCTCTTTTAATACTCAGCAAGTGGTCTGAACGAGTGTTATTAATATACTGAAGATCACATCTTTGTTAGCACCATATCAACTTGGTGTCAGTGTTCCAGCTGCCAGGATACTTTATGCTGAGGTTTGCCACAAAAATAGGTATTTGTAACACAAAGTTGATATGCAGCACAAAATTCTATAAGCTGCTGCCATTTTCATTCAATGCTACTGAATCCTAACTCTATCATCAGTCAGACATTATAGGCAGGTGATAAAAACCATGATGCGGCAATTTTGAAAACGTTTCTTTACTAAATTCTGCATTGTCCCTAGCAAATGCACTTTTTATACAGTTCTCACATTTTTTGTACCTTTTAACATTTTTGTACCATGGGTGGTGGGTAGAGGAGGTAGGGGAAGGCAATGCCTTTCCTAATTGAAAGCCAAGGCCCCACCCTCTTTCCACCCACAGAACTTCTACTGCTTCAGCACAGTTCCTCTGCAGCGCTGAGGCTGGGGACATCGCTTCCCATGCCCTGGGGCTGGGGAGGCTGGTGCCACATGCTGCCAAACCCTCCCCATGTTCCGGGGCTCCACTGGAGGCTTGCCCCTGAGGAGCAAGGCATGGGGGCTAGGCACCCGTGCGTGGCAGGGCCTTAGGCAGAAGGGGCAGGACTCTACAAGCCCCCAGCTCTACCTTCACCCACCAACCATGCTTTTAATAGTTGCCTTAACTGAGAAGAGCATGTGAAATACAACAGCCTGAAACTGTGTTTTGTTGAACCTACCTTTATTATCTGAGTAGCAGTGTTACCTCTGGCACTCAACAAGACCATAGACAGGCCAGTAGTGATACTCATAGGGGAGAAGAAGATGTTCTTGTTAGCAGCATTTTTGTTCAGTTCTTTGTAAAGATCAAGGCCCATCTCAGTAATTGCTTGAGAAATGGAGCACATGGTGAAGTCACAGCAGGCTAGAAACAAGAAACAAAAAGAAGAGAATAATGTACTTTGCTCAGCAATGTCAGGAACGACTACTAGCTCACTACAGCCTCATAACAATTAAAGTGTGTGCCTCATCTACATAATCCTGAATTACATCAGTGAGTTGTAACTGAGAACAGAACTGAGGCCCAATTAAACCCAGAAATGAGAAAAAAATCAAATATTTCCAATACTACCTCAAAATGGAATCATATATATAGTAGCCCAGTGTCTGTGAGCCTGTAACGCTGAAATGCTGCCCTCCTCTGGGCGGTGCTGTTGCTGAAATGCTGGCTGTTCCCTCTGGGAGGCCCGTGTTGCATGGGGAGTGCGGGGCCCAAAAGGTCGCTTGCGCAGTTTGCTCCCTCGCAGCGGCCTGGCTGAGCGGCACAGAAGTCAGCTTAGTGCCACGGTGGGAGGGGAAGGGGGGGCGGGGCTCCGCACCCTCCATGCAGCACGGGCAGTGCGGAGCCCAAATGGCCATTTGGGCTCCATGGTTCCCCGAGTGAGAGGCAGGAGGGGGAGGAGAAGTGAAAGAGAGAGAGGGGGAGGCAGTAGGAGGAGGAGAAGAGAGAGAGAGAAACAGAAAGACGGAGTGAGAGACCAGAGGCTCAGGAGAGAAGTCTGACGTGGAGGAGTTAATAAATAAGCTCAAAAGGGACACTCAAAACAGGGATGTGGTGAGACACCTTTCTGAGAAAGCAATTTACCAGTCAAATCCCTCTTGTTAATATGGCTTCTTAGCAATTAGCCATAACTGAGCAATCCAAGTTTTAAAATCATCGTGCAGTAATAAAAAGTACAGATTTAACCACCAGTCTCCAAAATTCAATTTGCATTTTTAAAACAGTTCATAAAATAATATACAAAAATAAAATTGCAGAAGGTAAGAGGAATAAAAAGATCCAATTAAGCTATAAATAGCATAACCCTGGTACAATTTTTATTTTGGATGCTGATCGTGAACATAAGGCAACCACCTATAATAGAAACATTTATTGCTATATAGTTAATATTCCAATTTTTGAGTCAATGACGTAAAAGGCTTCTGAGCCAAGGCTGGGGAGGAACATTTAGTTATCAAATGGCAATAAAAAGTTGCTAAATAACCTCTGCAATCAGCCCTGGTGCCAACTCACCCCACACATCTATACAAGCATTTTCATCATTGAACCCAACCACATCAACCACCAAATCACAGGCTCATTTAACTGCACATCCTCTGATATGATCTATGCCAGCAATGCCCCCACCACAACATATATCAGTCAAATTGGACAGTCTCTACAGGAAAGATTTAATGGACACAAATCATATATCCAAAAAGGCAACACACAAAAACCTGTTGAAGAACACTTTAATCGTCCTGGACACTCATTAATGGATCTCCAAGTCACTGTTTTGTTTCAGACCAATCCCACAAGCCAAATACACAGAGAAGGATTGGAGCTTAACTTCATTCACAAGTTTAATTCTTATACTAATTATTTGAATCGTGATATCAGATGGCTTGCACATTATCAACCAACCAAACAATGAAGATGCTAATGGTTCTTGATGTCTATGTAGAATCTGGTGTTGGTCATCTTCCTTTCCAAGAGCTAACTAATGGTTCTTATCAGCCTCTTGTAACTATTTAATCTTTGAGATGCTACTAGACTACCCTGCCCCTGTCCTCCCCTTATTTATTCTTGGATCTGGACTTCCAACACTCCTGTCATCTGAAGAAGTGGGTTGTGCCCACGAAAGCTCATGATACCATCTACATGTTTTGTTAGTCTTTAAAGTGCTACTAGACTATTTGTTGTTTTTTAAGTTTTTCCTGTTACAGACTAACTCGGCTACCCCTCTGAAGCTTTTGAACACACACACTACTGGGCTTTGGACCAATTTGAATATCTTCGAGTTGCTCTCAGAAGGCTTTTCATTATTGCTCAGAGTCTGTAGTACACATGACTGATCTCACCTTAGATCTGAATTGATATCTACTGGTATCTTCTTTGATGATAAAATGTAGCTTGAGCTCTTTCATATATGGTGGGTTTGATCATTCTCTCTGCTATGCCTCAGACTTAACTAAGCTGGTGTTCAGTGTTCTTCATTTCTCCTTTTCTGGGTGGCCAGCCCAGAACATGGATCAAGATACAACTGTTCTGTACATGGGGAAAGCCCTGTGTTATATAGAGAAAACAATTTACATAATGTTGATATCTAGAAATAAGAAAAACTTCAAACTGCACTTACTCTCAAAATGGAATCAGAAAATTTCAAAAGGAGCACTCAGGAAAAGGCAGTGCTGGTATACTTACCCCAGGAAACAATTTCCCTGGTACAAATACAGAAACCTAGCACACAGTTGTGTTTTGATTGTTAATATGAATCAGAGATACTTGAAAATGGCTGTCAATTGCTGATTTTTGCAAGAAAAGCAAATAGCTACTTGGCAAAAAGTGGTTTTGGAAAGAATAACCTAGCTACAACCCTTTAGGAGGTAACAGATTTTTTTTCCATGCCCTTGTTAAAGAGGGAGAATATCTTCTTATGCAAGCCTTTCTATCAAATGTTTTGTATTAAAGTAGATGTATATGACATTTCAGCATATACTCTTACAGTGGTAAAAACTGTGCCCCAAAAAAATTATGATAGTAAAAATATTAGACTAAATTATACAAAGAATAGAAAGATATGAAAGGAGCTGTCTGCTGTTTGCTAGGAGAGATTCCAACTATGATTGAGTATAATTGTATATTTAATCTGATTTAAAGCAAGTTGAAACCTATTGGCTGTGTCTAGACTGGCCAGTTTTTCCAGAAAATCAGCCGCTTTTCCGGAAAAACTTGCCAGCTGTCTACACTAGCCGCTTGAATTTCCACAAAAGCACTGACTTCCTACTGTAAGAAATCAGTGCTTTTTGTGGAAATACTGTGCTGCTCCCATTCATGCAAGAGTCCCTTTTGCACAAAAGTTTTTGTGTAGACAGCTCAGATTTGTTTTCTGCAAAAAAGCCCCGATCGCAAAAATGGCGATCGGGGCTTTTTTGCGCAAAAGCGCGTCTAGATTGGCACGGACGCTTTTCCGCAAAAAGTGCTTTTGCGGAAAAGCGTTCATGCCAATCTAGATGCTCTGTTCCAAAAATGCTTTTAACGGAAAACTTTTCTGTTAAAAGCATTTCCGGAAAATCATGCCAGTCTAGACATAGCCATTGTGTGCAGCGGATCAGGGCAGTTTGTATTGTCTCAGTCTGCTCTCACTAAGCCATTATTAATGCTCCCTTGTTCCTCCTAAAGAAAGGAAGAGGATATTTGGTGACATCAAAAGATAGGTATCCTTCCTGTGCTAAGGAGAATGAAAAAGCTCATATAAATGACCCTGTTCACATGAAGTGTTGTGGTGGGTGAAAGAGATATATATACTTGTCCAAGTATTTTCCTATGAGTTATGCCTGACCTTGAATCCTCAAAATTTAGCAGCCTAAGTTTTTCAGAAGTTTGTGAAATCTTGAAAAGCCCTTTCTGTGTAAAATCTCAGTAAGCAGTGTTTTTTTTTTTTATTAGGATTGTATACATTCAGGGAGGAAAAGAGATTGAATAGCTCTATCTAACTTGCTGTGATTTTGGACACCTGCTCTGATGTGTATTTTCAAGTTTCACCTCTGCTAAATTAACCTTGTGACCTCTTGTTCATCCAGGGAACTAGAAATTCAGTGAGATTAAGGCCACTTTTTTGAAAAGTGGCAACTGACTATGAGTGCTTCACACTTTGAGTGTCCAACCTGAGACACGCTGGGACTATTTTCCACCATCAGCAACCCTGAGGTGCTAAACACCTGGGCTGTGTCTACATTGGCACCCTTTTCCGGAGAAGGGATGCTAATGAGACACATCGCAATTGCAAATCCACGGGGGATTTAAATATCCCCCGCGGCATTTGCATTTACATGGCTTCCGCTTTTTTCCGGCTTGGGGATAAGCCGGAGAAAAGCACCAGTCTAGACGTGATTCTCCGGAAAATAAACCCTTTTCCGGAGGATCTTTTATTCCTACTTTCGAGGGCTTTTATTCCTACTTCCTACTTTCAAGGGCTTACTTTCAAGTAGGAATAAAAGATTTAAATATCCCCCGCGGATTTGCAATTGCGATATGTCTCATTAGCATCCCTTTTCCGGAAAAGGGTGCCAATGTAGACACAGCCCTGGGCTGTGTCTACATTGGCAAGATTTTGTGCAAAAGTGCATCGTTCTTACGATGAGTCCTGGACCAGTATAGACGCCCTCTTGCGCAAATACTTTTAACGCAAAAACTCTTGCATTAAAAGTATTTGCTCAAAATCATGCCAGTGTAGATGTAGCCCTGCTGCTCCAACTGATTCAACCTGCACTCTGGCTGCTCAACTGTTGAAAATCAGGCCCAAGATGTCTCAAGACAATACACCAATCTAATCCCAGTGTAGACAGCACTACTAGGAGATTCGGATTACCTATGATCACAGGAGAAACTATCCCATCAACACAGGTCATATCTATTCTGAAATACTGCAGCAGCAGCCCTCTTGCTGTAGCGTTTTAAGTTAACACATACCCCTAAACTCAGACAAAACTGTAAAGAGTGGTGACTAATAGATTGTACTGTCTCCCAGACAAATCAATCTGACTAAACACACTGATTGCTTAACAGACTCCAACTCTAGTCCTGGTACTGACACAATGCGGCAGATCTACAGATAATTTACACCATCTTTCTCCATTGACTTCAATAGACCTGTGACCATTTATACCAGCAGAGAATCTGTGCCTGAGTTTGTGTTATTTTGTGTTATAAACTGGGAATGTGAATAATTACCTACTTTGTAACTAAATATTAGCAGGGTGTTAAAAGAAGAGGGAATAAACTCAAAATCTTGTAGCTCCCAGTTCTCTGTTTAATCCATGAGCACTCTGTTTCTCATTCGTGTCCTTCTGAATGTGAATTTGAGAA